GGCTATTTTTTGGTTGCAGCCGTCATTGTTGTTTGGCAGGTCCGGGCTGGGGATTCGAACCTGCCACCTTAGGTGTACGTGGCTGGTGCCTTAGCCGGTTGAGCTATAGGCGCCGAGCCACATTTGTACTTTCTTGGCATGTGTACCCGGCAGGCTAGTTGGTACTGGTTCTTTACAGAAGGCCTGTGCTTCTTGGTAGGGAGGCCCATTGAGGAGACCGTATAGAAGAGCAGGAGATTGCTTGCTGAGCATGTTTATTGGGTTGGGAAGTGTGTCTCCAAATTTATGCCCTTTCTCATGAACCTCAGTATATAATCTTATTTGGAGCTAGGGTTGTTGCAGGTGTTACTAGTTAAGATGAAGCGCTATTGGAGTAAGGTAGGCTTTTAATCCATTTTGACTGGTGTCATTATAACAAGAAGAGACACAGAGACAGCCATGTGAGGACAGAAGCAGAGATTGGAGCACTATGTCAATAAGCCAGGGAATGTCAAGCACTGCCAGCCACGCTGGAAGCTAAGAGAAAGGCATGGAACAGATTCTCCCCTAGAGTCTTCAAGGAAAATATGACACCTTGATTTTGTACTTACAGCCTTTAGGACTGTGACAGAATAAGTTTATGTTGTTTTAGCCCACTCAGTTTGTGGTACTGGAATTGGCAAATAATATCAGATATTCTTGAAAAATGGATTTTTCCATAATGGGAATTTTTTGGTATGATCACAGGCATTGTCATTAGAATCACAGAGTCCTTCTCTGAACAGTGATGGAGAAACAAATGAACCATTCATAAGCTAGTCCTCTGTTTTTAAGTATTTCTCACTTGAGATTTCTCTTGAAAGGGTAGTAAATTAATAGCTACCAGTTATTAAGTAGATATTATGTTTTAGACCATTCTAAATCCTTGGCATTGTAAATATCTTTTAATCTTGCAAGGTGTTACTATTATTTCTATTGTATACATCAAGAAACCAAGACTCCAGGAGATTGAGTAACTTATCCAGGGTCACACAATTTGAAAAACGACAGAGCTGGGATTCAAACTTAGTTCTGTTTGACTCCAAAACTTAACGTCCTTTTCTACATGCTAAATTGCTTCTTAGAATACACATTTT